TATAGAAGGAATAGAACAATATGGGTCGGTTTTCCAATAGTCAAGGATTTATTCTATTAAATTAGAATTTTTGGCAACTAAAACAAAAGTTAATTTAAAACATTAAGCAGGAGGGTTTTGAAACTGAAATTTAAAATATCTAATTAACAAAAATAGGACAAATAAAAGAGATACTTAATGATTAACTGAAATTTAATATGAGAAATACAATTAACTACAAGTTCTTCCCTTAGATTGCAATTGTTCTTGTCTAAAATTAGAATTTGATTCCTTTGATTGAGATTTTGAAAGAAAATTTGAACTTAAATTCTTGAATATAATATTGATTTAAGGTTTATGCCATTATCTAATTCAAAGTTCAATGATTTCTCAATCAAACTTTAAACTAAACTTAAGCAATAATTAATCCTAGAATTTTTCACAAATAGAGAAAATTAATCAATTTCCTCCTCTAATTCCCTCTCAAACCTCTAATTAATCAACTAGAAGCTTATGGCATTTCAATATCCAAGAAATATAATGTAACATATGAGAAAATTAAGCATAATTAATTAGTTTAATGAGTGTGATTAGTGAATTGATGAAGTGTGGGGTCAGAGGGGTCTAATTAGTGTATTTAGCTTTGATTTTAGCTCAAGAAGTGGGTCTAGATTGAAGTCAAGCTATTCAGGTAAGGAGAGAAGAAGAAAAAGTGAAGAAAAGCTTTTTCTGTCACATGCTGCGATGTGTGGATGATTCGCTGCGGCGCACAAAGGAAAAATTAATGTGATTAGAGCTCTTTATACCATACGCTGCAATGGGAGGCTATGTGTACCATGGTATATGGCCAAAAATTTGATATAATCTATTCATGTTTGTGTGCAAAATTAGAAGAGGAGGAAAGGAAAAAACGTAGAGCATAGAATTTCTCTGTTAGGACACGCATATTAGGACCTTTAGGACCCTTGAGGATAGTTAGAGACTTCCCAACACCTAAGGTAAGTATAATGAGCTTCCTTTCTTTCTTCTACTTTCATTTTTATAAAGATTTGAGTTAGGGTTTAACTTAGGAGGGTGATTTTCGGTCCATATAAGTTATGGGTTCAAACCTATTAATTAAAAGAGATATAATGAGAGTTGTTTAGGGTATCTAAATGCAATATTAATGTTTTTATTAGTGGTTAGTAGTTGGGAGCCTTAATATGCGAAATTAGCAATTAATAAAGTAGTTGGGAGTGTTTGTGGATGATTAATGATGGTTTAATGACTCATTAGTGATTTTGTGGGTCAATGAAACCTAATGAACCCATTAGGAATGAATGAGTGTGGTTTTATGATTTTGATAGGGAGGAATATGTGGAGTTTGGTGTTGATAAATCCTTAAGAGTGAGACAATTATGATGTTCTTGTAATATGATTATAGTGTGATTCAATTGGCACCATTCAAGTTTGGAAGAAGTTTTGGAAGTGGTTATTGAGAGGGGTAAACCTTTGACCTATTAAAGGTTTGAGATAATCGAGAAAAACTTAGTTTATATAATTGAATATTAATTGCTTATTTGTTGAAATGATTGATTTAAAACATAATTGATGTTTTAAACTCTTGAATCAAATTGGTATGTTATGGTTAGAAATGATATGTATGTTTATTTACATGTGATTAATGATGATGATTGTGAATATATGTGTATATACTAATTGGTATGTGGAGCACAATGGAGAAAAAAGTGTTTTATATGCTTGATGTGATAAGAGGAATGTATCTATGACATTAATTGTCACAAGTGCATAGTATGTGTCAAATATGTATGGCATGATCATTGGCAGAGTTTGCTTAGGGAGAGGAGTAGTTGATTAAACCTATATGATATTGATAGTGACCGTTGAAATCAGAAACTTATTATGGTACCGACTGTTGGAATCGGGAGGTAGCTCTTTTCTCATAGTTGATTTGGGACTATTCCACTTGTTCTACGAGAGACTCGAACCTAATTAGTTTTCACCGATTCATAAGAAGACTAGATTAGGGGTACGACACCTTATAGTTATTAGTATTTGGGGCAACCGAATTACACAAGTGAGTGAGTTGACCTTAGCCCAGTAGCTCCTCATAAGTGGAAGGCTGGATTAGTCCGTGAATAATGTAGACACGTAATAGCCACTAGTTTCACGTCGGAGGTAATATGAGGGTATAAGGCTGGCATTTAATCATGCAATTAAACCTGACCATATGGTTGTTAGTATTGTGATTAGTGTGGTTTAAGGGTGCATGATTTGTATTATTGTGACCCCATGATGTGCATTGTCATTTAATATGGATAGATGTGTTTTAGACTCGGTCATATGGTTGTAGTATTGTGAATCGTGGCTATGTTCATCATATGTGTTGTGTTTGTGTATTTTTGCCTATTTATATCTGTTTTCAATTGATATGCAATTGTAGAGATTATGTGAAACTTGATTATTGAGTGGTTGTATTCACCTTTTAATTCTCAATATTTTTAAGGCCTAGCTCATCAGATCCAGAATAAGGACAACATGTTGAGGCATAGGGTATATGACAGTAGCTGTTTGCTGTCATATTTTGTGCAATGCACCATGGTGTATAACATCTCATGTTGTGATGCATGGCACAGAAGAAAGGGACGCCACGACATGTGTCCCATTTTCTGCACAAATTACAAATTTGAGTTTTAAAACAAATGTTTTGGGCTCCATTTAATTTTTAAGCTTCCATAATACTTTGAAAACCATGTTATGAGCTTAATGAAGGTATTTGGGAGAATTCTTGATGTTGAAATTTTGAGATTCTATTGTAAATGTTTTGACAATTGTTTATTCCATCAAATTTTGGAAAACTTTTTTCTTATTTGTGAATATACGGAAACTTGGTAATCATTATTGGATGTAGGCTCTTATTACCTTGATTTTGATAATTTTGGTGCTTAAGTGAGCAGATTTCACAATCACCCACCCCACCCCCCCCCCCCAAATCTGACAAATATAAATTTAAATCTGAAAATATAAATTTTCCAACACCAACACACACCCAAATCTGAAAAATATAAATTTTGCAACACCAACAGCAATAAAAAGAGGAATTGATGAAACTTTCATATCTAAAAATTCCATTAAAGCATACTTCAAATATGAACAGCAAAATCCCTCAAATAATATAATATATTATGTCCAAAGCTGAACATACATGGAGCAAAGAAAAATTACAACAAAAGAGTGCCAAAAGAGAGGGAAATAAGACAGGAATTTCAACCCAAAAGTCTCCATTATGACTATAAGACTCCCGTTACAAACCTAGGATTAGAATACTGTAGCTAATATGCAATAAACTGTAGAGCCCTATGGCTCTAAAAATTGAACAAAAGCTGGCGACCATGAGGGTAGAGGAAACTATCGAAAGTGAAGAGAAGAAAAGGAAGAAGCAACTTGAGTTGCGCGTGTTCAGCCTCTCCTTCTCTCCTGATTCCTGAATACTTTCGCTTTTTTTTTTTTCTTTTCAATTTGTGTTTCTATTCCTTCCTTTTCATTGAATAATCCGTGTGTCCCATATGACTTCAAGCCCAATAAATCTCCATTAATGATATTTAATTTAGCTTCAAAAAAAACTGCACAAAATAAGATAATACTTAATAGCCACATGTGCGAAAAATATTAAGTGAAAAATTTAATTCTAATTTTCAAGATTTAATCCATCAATTCCCACAAAATATAAAGTGATCAATAAAATAAAATATATTTTAATTAATTTCAATTAGTCACAATTCATCAATAAAAAAAATATAGTGAAGAGAAAAATATATATATATAAAGTCTGATTTATTAGAACTCTACATTTTTGAATCATTAAATTAGATTTCATAGCTTTTGAAAATATAGATTAATTTGTATCATTAAAAGTCAATCTAAACAGTTCAAATTTGTAATGTAGATGCAGCGGAGAGAAACCAAGTCCAAATATGAACAACGGTCCCTCATAAACAATCACACCAAGTCCCATAAACATAGGCCTTCTCCACCTAAATTAGCATCATTTATTGGCGACTTAACCCAACTTGTTATCTCTGGACACTTAAAAGTAGGGAAAATAAGCCGTAAGGAGTTAAGGACTAAGAAGCTAAATACTGGAGCATAGATCCCAAATTCAGAAATAAAGTCAGCAAGGGACCATGGTCTCCAAAATATGGATTATTGAAGATTCATGAATGACTTCAATAGATCAGTGCATAAAAAAGGAAAGGTGTTTTGTTATTTGCACGAAAGAAATTAGGATAATTATTACTGACAAAATTTGTCAAACATTGCAATAAAAAAAATTCAAGATATATTAAATATTATATGTTTGATATTAATTATAAAATCACTTATTCAAAAGTTAAAAATTATGGCTAGAATGTTCTTCTAAAAAACAATGCTTTTTTTGTAATCATTAAGTTATTGAAATTTATGATACAGATAGTTTTTATTTTGATATAATTTGATATTATTGACATAAAGATTTTGTGACATTGAGCATCATTACTGCGTTAATATATTTATTTACTATTATTATCAATTGAAAGAATTAAATAGTAAATCCAGTCAGCAAGTAATAAAACTTCTTCGATTGAACATAGCTTTAGATCCTAAGGATGCATTAAATCATTCAACACTCACAGGGAAGATGAAATTCTTACCAATTTAACGATAGTTTATATTGAAAAGAAAATTGCTAAAAAATTTATCATAGACATGATAATTAATAATTTTTATGCCACGAAAAAAAAATTGATAAGCAAAATTTAAAAAAATAAAATTATATATATTTATTTTTGTTATATATTTGTAGAATATTTATATTATTGAAATGGTATATATATATATATATTGATTTAACCTTCCTTCGATTATTATATATATTTTGTCATCTCGACCTCCCTAATAAAAATTTCTAACTTATCCTTGTTCATAAGTGCTATCAATTACATTATGTATATGGTTCATTAAGTATCTAAGTCGGGGAAAAAGATGAAGAAAAGAATTAAATATCGTATAACAATTCCTGAAACACTTTCATATGGTCAGGCTGAAGAGCAATGGCCACAGACAAGCTGCCATCATTTGATGGGCTTGGTATTATAAATGACAATCCCTCATACGCAATCCCACCAGGTCCCATGAAAATAGGCCTTCCCCATCCAAAATCAGCATCATGTACTGGCAATCTAACCCAACTTGTGATCCCAAGATTGGGACACTTAAATGTATGAGCCCCACGAACAAGCTCTTTCAGATCAGGTTGAAGCTCAAGGTAGTCCAAAGCTGACTTCAAATACTCATCATCCATTCTCACCAAAGAATTATGAATCTTGCTTGCAGCATACCAAGTAGGATTTGACATGAGTTCACCTGCCATAGCCATTGGTGTGGCTGTGAATATCACATTTCCAAAGTAACCTTCTGGCAAGGCTGGCTTCAATCTAGACCTTCCATCAGTGGCAATGTACAATTTGGTTTCTTGATCATAGGGTAAGGCACGTGCCTTGCATGTGCTTTTCCAAACATGTCCAGCCAACATCTCGTAGGAGCTATAGTTGACTGTGTTTCCATTTTCCTTGGACTTAGATTTCAAAAGGTTCAGTTGGTCACGAGTCATTTTGAATATGGATACTACTGATGAACCTGGGCCTGGTTTTGTTGGTGGTGGCGAGGAGGAGGAAGTGATCATGGCCGGAGGCGGTTTGTATTCGACGTGATCAAAAACTGGCCGAGGAGGGTCACGAGCTCGGAGAAGGCTCCGGTCGATGAAGGGAGGGATAGTGAGATCAAGGCCACGAGCTATATCAGACCATGCATTTATGAAGTGGAGACCAGAACATCCATCTGTTACATGATGTTGCATACCAACTCCAAGTGATACTCCTCCACATTTGAAATATGTTACCTTGGGAAAAAACAAAGTTTTAAGACTCTAGTTTGTATTACAAACATGAATCTAGAAGTTTGATCCCGTATTGCTCCCTATTCCTTAAGAATTGAATCCATGTTGAAATACGCTGAATACTTGTCACATTTTGGACGTAAGGATTGCATGCCGATTTTAACTATGCATGTGTAATTTGAAGAATTTAGGAAAAGTTTCATTATTTTATAACATAATTAAAAGTTAAGACGATCTATAAATAATTAAATATTATTATATCATCAAGAAATTCCAGATGATATAAATATTTTTTTCTTTAATATTTAATTTCCATCAGATTTAATAATTTGAAATAGTTGTTGGAAATTATAATTTCATTTGAGTGCTTAATATTTAATTTTTTTTAAAACAATACTTAATAAATAATAACATAATGGATGTGTTCTGGCTGGATTAAAATTTTCGACACTTGTCTAAATAAGCAGGTTGCATATAATTCAACCCTTTTCACCACGTGCTAGATCAATCCATACGAACAATAAGATACTCCGCCATGACAGTTCTCTAATGTAATTGAATTTTCAAATTGACCTAATGAAGTGCAGTAGTAGAGTAATCAATTAGGATCAACCCTATTAGGCTGACCTTTTTAAGCTTGAAAAAATTTCAAACTGAGCCTTTTCTTTAAGCTACAAAATGGTAAATTGGGTTGGCCCTTTTAAGCCCTCATATATATATATATATATATATATATTTTTAAAAAAAATTTAATATAAAAATAAACATTTCAAAAATAAATGTTATGTGTAATAATTGATGAGGTTCCACAAGGAGCAGGATTAAATTATATTTATGTTGGTTATAATAAAAATTATCAAGATTTAGTTGATGATGCAAGTAAAGTTTAATTATTATCGGTGTCAATTTTGTGATGTTATTACTTTTGATTAAACTTAAATTTATTATTCTGTGTATTGTCTTAAATTTATTATGTTAGACTTAATGTTATGTGCAATAACTTTTTTTATAATTTTAAATATGTTTTTTTAAAATTTTAAGTTGAAAAATAAATAAATAAATATATATATATATAGGTCGAGGACTTGAGGGCCGGCCTTTCAGCCCTAAGGTCTAGGGTCAGATCAGTCAAAATGGAACCCTAAAGTGAAGTTGGGCTCTATAGAGCTAGCCCGTTTAAACCCTAACTCTTCAAGGATCAGCCCTAATTGATAATTCTATATAAAAGTATAATCTCTCTTTAGGACATTGATTAGCTGAAATAAATTATTTATTAATAATCAAGAAATTGATGACTATATTGTCAAAAGAGAATCGTTGCAAGAAAACAAAAAACAAAAAACAAAACAGAATTATATGTCAATTTTTAGTATTGGAAGAACCTAACAGGCTAACAAAAAGGGGCCAAAGACAAAATGTTAAAGTTAAGAAAGATTTGTAGATTAATCATAATTTTAACGAAAACACAATATTATCCATACTGTGTTTTTTTAATAATCAATTGTCACATAAGCGCCTTTCAAAAAATATAATAATGGAAAAAGTACCTTATCAGCTTTGTCCAATAGCTAGAACCTATGTCCCATAAGCTATAATCACATGCATATAATTAAACTGAGCTTATTTATTGGCAAACCTAACACATTTCACGTTGGCCTTAATAAATCATTGTCCAAAATGGTCCACCATGTTTCATTGCTCTTTTATTCCATTTAAAAGTAGTTTTTAATATATTTTATTGATATTAAAAAAATCTTAAATTATATTAATTCTATTTAAATATTTAATAAGTTTTTAATTTTATCCTTATCAACAATACATAATTTAAAAATAAAATATTTTAATATTTAATAACCTTATCAACAATTTAATATAAATAAAAGAATATAATTATTGGGGGTTGGATTTAATAAAAAAGCTAGTTTCTTACGACATAATGAATTAATATTAAAATTTTCGTTATTATGAGAACTGAACAAGACTGCCTGCAGGATAAAGGTAATATGAGTAATTAAAAAAGAAGAAGAAGAAGACAAAGATAGACACAAATAATACTCTCTTCTTCATGTAAACACAGGACCAGAGGAGCATACTATTCAAGACGCATAGTTCTAGAAGATGAAATAAAATATAAAAAATAATGAAAAAAACAGAGTGAGCTGGCAACAGAATTAACGTACCTGCAACACTAACAGCGGATAAGTTTCGATTCCACGGGCATAATCCACGGCGGGAATGAATTGCCGGAGTTCAAGCGTGGGGGCGAAGTCACCAAAATCGTCAATGACTTTTCCCGTTTCGGCCTCCAGGAAGAGGACGCCTTCGCCGTTGCAGTCAATCTCAATACGGCCGTCATCGTCCCGGCGGAGCCGCCCAGCCATTGGATAGAAAGGCACCAGAGCCTTGCTCAGAGCCTCCTTCAGAACCTTGCCGTCGAAGAAACCGGACCCGCCGATCGTCGACGGCCTGTAGAAGTACACGCTCGGCGTGTGGAAATTCGGCACCACCAAGTCGACGTTGGAATTCCACAGCGCCCTCCAAGGCGTCTCCGCCGCCGGCCTCACCATTGTTGAGTTCTTCACCTTTATCGCCATCTTCCGATCCTTCTCTACCTCCGGACGCGACTCCAATCGATCTAAAGAATAATGGAAACAGAAAAACTCATCACTCATTCATGAAGACTGAAGCTTTTTGATGTGAGGGAGTGTATGGAGGGGAGGGAGAGTTTATAAGGGTAAACATGGAGAGGAACGTAGAGGTGCTGCACTAAATGACCAACACGAAAAAGTCGATAATGCAACTGGCCACGGCCCACGCATCAACTGTCTGATGCAGCTTTTTATTTCTCTATTTTTTATATGTACATATAAAAGGAAAGACATAATATATAGTTACTGATTCTTATAGTTTTAACAGATCGACAACAATATTTTTAGTCAATGCATTTTACTTAAGTTTTCGTATAGGTCCCAATGCTTTTGTTTTGGCGTTTCAAGTTTTTATACTTTTTTTCATATACAATTTTGATTCTTATATTTTTAAAAAAATATTAATATAGCACAAACGATAATAATAATACTTATATGGCAATTAATACCATTAATTTTATACTTATATGTTAAACTGAAACTAACATAATTTTTTTAATGAGCAAAAATTTAAAAAAAAAAGCCCACCTCAGATAAAATAAAAGGGCTAACCTCGAGTCTTCAAATTTTTGCTTCTTAAAAAATCTATACCAGTATTTTTATTTCATGTTGGCTTTTTTAATTTTTTTTTAATTAAAAAATTCATGTTAGCATCGTTTTTTCATATTATGTAGGCTGTTTTTTTTTTAAAAAAATTCTTATTAAGAAATCCACGTTAGTATCTTTATTTCATTTGATATAGGCTTTTTTTATTAAAAATTTTTGCTCATTAAAAATTCATATCACAAAATTAAAGGTGTTAATTGACATATCAACCTTATTAACATCATTTGTGCCACATCAACATTCCTATAAAAATTTAGGGACTAAAGTTGTAAAAGAAAAAAAGTGTAAGAATTTAAAATACTAAAAAAAATACAGGAACTTATATCAAAACTTGAGTAAATATAGTATTTTTCCTTTAGCATATTTTGGCATAGGTTCTATAGTTTTTTTTAGCTGTATTTGCGTTCCTATGTTTTTAATATGCTTAGAAAGCTCAGAACAGGACCGAATATTGAACTGGAGAGGCCAGCGGTCCGTGGTTCGCATGGTCCAACTGGTCAAACCAGTGACATCATAATTAAATTTAAAAATTATATATCTATATAATAATATAAACAAAATATCAAATAATTAAAATATCAAGTTAAGTAGTCAACTTCAACTTCAACATATGACAAAATAACAACTAACAAGGCAACACAACACAACACACCAACAATTTAAACAAGCATAACATCATATTTATCTATTCGTGACTTGTCAAAGATTGGTGGATCCTGATTAAGCCAAGCATAAGTTTCTCGCAAATCATCATCACTATAAGTTTCAACATCTTCTTAGGCAAAAGATCTCAAATCAAGTCCTTCCATGATTGAACATCCACCTCCAGACGGAACCTCATTACCTCCTCCTTTATTATTACCTTTATTAAATAATGTAACAAATCAAATATTAAAATTAATAAGTAACACATATTATAAGAAAAAAAAATAACATGACTAAATACTAGAAAATATCAAAGATCAAACCTTCATCTTGATTGATAGAAACTTGTGGAATTATTGTATCATCATAAAGCATAGCTTCTTCTATCTCATCATAATTAAGGGTGGGAGAATCTTCATCTTCCATGATCCAATACTCAATATCACCAATACTTTCATAATTAATAGGATCAAAAGATCTTTTCTTGTTATAAACTCTAAAACACATAACCAAAGTATTAAAATTTTAGAAGTTAACTTATAATTAAACTCATGTTAAACAAAGTTTAGCTATAATTAAATAATATACCTATTTCTCAAACGAAGGTTGTAATGAATAAACACAAGATCATTTAACCTTTTATGCTCCAACCTATTCCTTTTTTTAGAGTGTATTCTTTCAAAAACACTACAATTTCTTTCACAACCAGATGAAGATGAAGTTTGGCTTAAAAGTCTCATTGCTAATTTTTTAACATTTGGTGCACTATCACCAAACATTTTCCACCATTCATCTGCAAAATTTAGCATCAAAGATAAACATAAGTAAGAACTATAAAAACTAAAAAGTATTAAAGTTAAATGAAAAAAGCATTAAAATTTACATGGCCGCAATGAGTTTATAGATGAAATGGTCAAGGAACGATCGAAACTGTCAACTCTATCTTGATACAACAAACTTTCTTGCACAAACTTGGTTTTGTTAGAAGTGATTGTCTTATCCAAAACATTAAGAAATCCAGCCATAACCTCTAGCTTTTTACAGAAGCTCTGCTTATCATAAAAGAACACAAGATTTAGGAAATAAGCTACTGCATGAAGCTTTTAACGAAGTTGAGAATCCCACCTTCTCTTGATAATCCTTGTGTAAGACTTATACAAGGGCTTTTTATTCATTAATATATTCTTGATAGTTTTTCTTGCCCTGTACATGCCATCATATATATACCCAAGTAAAGGCCTCTCATCAGCATCAACACTCAACAACCGAATAAGTGGTGAAATAATTTGGACCACAATTTTACAATCATTCCAAAATTAATTGTCCAGTACTATTAAAGTCACATCCTTTGCCTTTTCTCCTTTTGAGTATCTAGAATCTAAAAATACTTTGCTAGTTACCAAGGCTTGCAAATCATGTTTATGCTCATGAATACTTTTCAATGCAATAAAAGTGGTAGCAAATCGTGTCACCCCAGGGTGAATAATTTCAGTCCAACTTTCTCTTTTTCTCAGCCAAGCAAGGAAAAAGGCATGATTATAAACAAACTTTGTCACCATAGATGCACGTGTTGCCAAGCCAATCACAACATCCATTTTACTGATATCTCCTAAATCAAGTTCAAACAATGTGTAGTACAAGGAGACCAAAAAATAGAAGGAAATTTGTCACATAATAACCTCCTAGTAGCTTTATAATTAGCTGCATTATCAGTTACTAAGTGCATACATTTGTAACTCTAACAAAGTCAACCATTTCAAGGAACAAGTTGCACAAATTTTGGGCATCCTTGACTATGTCTGATGCATCAACAGATTTAATAAAAACAATTCCCTTAGGAGAATAGACAAGAAAGTTAATCAATTGCCTATTTGCTTGATCTTGCCAACCATCGGCCATAATTGTATAACTAGTATCATCCTAAAAGTTTCTAAAACTATCAACCATTAACTGAACTTCCTTTTTAGTATCAAGCAGTAATTTAATTCTCATGGCATGATAACTTGGCCCTTTATAACTAGGGCCAATAGCTGTAAACGTATCAATCATAGGTTGAAAGAATGTTGAATTGACAACATTTAATGGGATACAACAATCATACATCCACTTAGCAAAAGCCATGCCTGCTCTACATACAGGTTCTTTACCTGCAAGTGCACTTTGTATCCCTAGCTGTGCTCCTACGGTTGTTCTTGGTGCAAAATATTTGTCAATAGGAGCCTTTCTTTTTTCAAATTGAGTTTGACTTTGTGATTGAATTTCCTTGAGGGTTTGAGATTGAGGAGTAAAAATTTCTTCTGAATTTCCATCATGACTTTCTAATGGTGTGACATTAGGGCCATATGGATTGTCTTCTTCATAACTATCTTGCTTCTTGCCTTTATTCTCCCTAATCTCCTTTAAATTTCCTTCGAGTCGGTAGTAGGCACCTTTTTGTAACTTATTGCATCTCCTTTCTTTCCAGCAAGATATTGTTTCATTTTATGAATCCCTCCACCAGTAAATTCTTTTGCACAGTACAGACATTTTAGGCCAACTTTGCCATCTGGGAGCTTGACCTTAGCACAATGCTCCCATGTAGGATCTGTCTTTGATCTAACAGATTGTGTTGATACAATAGTTGAAGCATTTTCAGATATCATTTTCTACAAGGTAAAATTTAAATTTGTCATTAAAAGACCTAATCAATATATAAAGTATAAATAAAGAAGAGTAAACAAATCAGATTAAGCATTCCATTCTAGACTTCCAGTGGCCAGTCTCAAATTGGCTATCAAGTATCAATTAATTGATGCATTGTCAATGAATGCTTGTAGGCAACTTAAAATCCATTACACAATCATTATATGCAGGCATATATAACATTTAATCAAATTAGGTCTTTAATAGATAAGGAATTTGAACTTCTAGGGAATTGAAAATTTGAAATACGTAAACATTAAAACTTACTTAGACTGCTAGATGATAAAGTAGAGCTAGACCAGGAAGAGGATAGCTCGATGAGGACGAGGAAGAGAAAGAAAAGATCACTCGTGGGCTGTGGCTGCTCTTGTTGATGCCAATTGATAGGGGAAGATGAAGGAAATCAGTGAAGTCACAGTGGCAGAAGAGCTAGAAATCGAAGCTGAAAGATAAAATCAAAGCTCAAAGAGACAAAGACAATGCAGAAAGCTAAAAACAGAAAGCCACCACCGTATTGCTAAAGTCAGAGAGAATAAGAGGAGAAGAGCAAAATCTAAAGCTTGAAATCACAGTGGGAAGCTTGAAATTGAAGCTCAAAGAAAAAGTGTGATGCTTGGAAATGGAATCAGAGAATCGTAGCTCAAACCAGATGCGCCATCCTGACTTTGCAGCTCTGAATTGAAACTGTGAAATTGTGAAATGAAATAGGAAGCCAATCCAGATACGCCGACCGTGACTTCATAGCTCAAAGAGACAAGGCAGAGATCTGAAACTGTGAAAGGTAAAAGTGAAATACTGAAAGTTTGAACAAGAACCCAAATAATCGGCGCCAAACCGTGACTTTGTAGCTCAAAGAGATGAGAGATCTAAAACCATGACTGCCCTACGAGCTGATATGAGAGCTGAGTGTGTGTGTGCCTCTGCATCTACGGTTTGCTTTTTCTTTTAGGGTCAAAATCTGAATTCTAAAATATATGGGGCAAAAAAAACCGTTCGGCTTTTAAAAATCAGACCCGGTTTGCGGTCCAACTCTAGTTCGTGACCCAACTAACGATTTTAGCCGGCTCAACATCTCACACAGTTTTTCCCTTTTGGCTGAGCCAAAATGTAGACCAGTCGACGGTTGAACCGGTCCGATCATTCGATTCGGTCCGGGCGGT